ACACACACACACACACACACACACGCCTGTCTCACCCCCACCCCCAGGCATATCCGTTACCAGGACATGTCACTGGCGTATTTTCCACCACTGTTAAGCTGTTAGCCTTGCATTCCTTCCTATCTTCTCCCAATCTCTCCGTTCCCTCTCCCATCCAGTCTCTCTGTCTATTTCTCACTTATTCTTCTCTATCAGTACATCTTCCTCCGCTGTCCTCTTTTCCAACAATTCATTTTTTTTCATTCTTCACTTATTCGTCTCTCACGCCTTTCTCTCTCTCCCCTCCTCAATGGTTCTGCCTCCCGGATCCCTCTCCTTTAGTCCTTTTCTTCGCAGTTTATTCACACGTAATATTCATCCTTTACGCGCCCCTCCTACTTTCACACCAATTCATGAAGGTTTGTTTTTTTTTGGCCTCCTTGCCTTCTCCATGTGAGACATCCAAAAAAATATTTTAATGATTTACTTCTCGCAATCCACAAATTCAGATACTGGCCAAAAAAATCTACACTAGGGTCAAATTTGTAGACTTTCTATTGGTGCCATATTCTTTAATGCCTGTTATTATTCCAAACTACTTATAAATTATTTTTAAAACTTCTCCTATAAACGTGAGATATCTTTTTCCATAGGGCTCGAATCCGTAAAGTAACTCAAGTGTCAGCACACTTCACACATATTCCTCTTCCGTATTTCAGTATAATATTCATCCTTTACTCGTCTTTGCGTTCACGCTATTTCATGAAGGTTATTTTGCCTCCTCCCTCTCTCCATATGTTACCCCCTCCTTATTCCCTCCATCCTTCCACATCTTCCTAACCTCTCCATTAGTACCCTAAACTTACAATTAATTGTATGTCAGTTACCACGGCACCTTCTACTTCCTACAGGGTCACACACCTGTTTGGTCCGACGTCCGACGTTGTGTCCTTGAGAAAGGCACTTTACTGTACTTTACCATGACTATTCCCATTTTTGGCTTGGTCCCATCGAAGATGGATGATATCTTCTGTGGCTCAGAGGCTCCACCTGTCAGACAACTGAACAGTGCTGCAACACACACACACACACACACACACACACACACACACACACACACACACACACACACACACACACATAT